ATATGCAACTACTTAAGAGAGTTCCCACCCATCTTAACTATCTCTTATCAATACGCTTTGTGAAAGAGGCATAGAAATCAGTCGGGTGAAGCTGGAGAAACAACAGAGTCACCCAAGTAATATTATAATATATATTATAATAGCAGCAATTCAGAACTGCATTTTTTTGTGTGTTTTCCTTAAGAAAAGGCTCTAATCGCTGACAGCAGAGACTGCTCATGGTCACAGCCATCAATAGCGCTTAGCACGTCCCCATGATGGTGAGTACCTGCTCCTGCACACAGAAGCCCCTTGCCTTTAGTTCAACTATTAGCGTGGTGAGGACGATTCCCAAAGGGACAGTTAGACTGCAGCCGTCCCAGGAGATAAAGTCAAAAAAAAAAACCATCAAAGATGCTAAAGGGAGACTGCAAGCAAGGCTCAACAGATACAGAAAGACCCAGGAAAGTGGCAGAACAAGGGTAGGAGCAAAGGGAGGCTGCTTAGCTCCAGCAGCAGCGTTTAGGGTTGTACTAATCACGCCAAAGCCTCTTTCGAGTTCATGTCCTCAGGAGTCCCATATGGGGTTTGGGACATCTCAGCTAGTGTCGGAGCCCAAATGTTTCTTGGCGAGATGGAAGCTCCCAGGAAAGGGGCCTTTACCTCCAACTGCTCGCTGAAGGTCTCCGAGTAGGGAATGTACTTGTTGTCCTTGTCTCCCTTGTAAAACCAGGTGCAGCGGCGCACTTCGGATACCTCCTCCTCCCAGTACACGGCCACGCGCTGCCTCTTCTGCAGGTGCACGTCGTACCTGCCCCCCGAGGTTGCCACGACCACGTCGGCCTTGTCTTTTCCTGCAGGAACCAAGGGCTGAGTTTAATCGTGAGAGGACGATGCCACCGGAGAGCTTTTTGCTACCCCGAATCAGAGCACCTTCTCCAGAGAGAACACCAACAAACACGCAAGTGACAGTGGCAAACGCAGCGTTTCCATGGACATTGCATTGAGGGCATCCCGGTGAGACGTGCCTGTGCCAAGCTTCTTCCAGAGGCAGAAGGTAAGAGCAAGGCCATAAGCTACAAACAGTCGTCTTCCCTTCTAGCTCCAGGCAGGGGCCAACCTGTCTCTGCCTGCCTACGCCTGAGTGGGAAAACATGGATTTGTGGCCTTGGGAAGTGCATTGCTTTAGCTCTCGGGATATCAGGAGAGATCTCGGGATCTCTAAGCCATTCCCTCGAAATCAGAGGACTCTGTGCATTTAGTTTTGCTGTCTCCTGGGTCCTCTGGCACAGCCTTTAAAGCCGAGAAGAAGAGCACGAAGCGCCTTAGCAGAACCAGGGCTTTAAGCACATTCCTCAGCCTCCTCGTGGCAGAAAGTCCCCTGTGCTCTTCCCTCAGTTGCCATCCTGCTCTCCCATTTGCATGAGTGCTTTGCAAATAAGTAGGTTTCTATAGAAATTAAAGGCTACTCAAATGAATGAGGTCTCATCATATAACACATCTAAAGAACTTAGCTTTTCACATGGCTCAAGATCTAAAGGCAGGGGCATTGCCAGGAAAGTCCAAATTTTAAAATGCAGGGACAAAACTTCCCATCCCGTGCAGCAGCCATGGATATATTTGAAGAATTCCTACTTGAATACTCGGTTAGAGCATCGTGGCCTCACTTGCTCAGACAACACACTCCAAATTTCCTACCAGTCTCCTGGGCAGGCCCTGACGGTGTTTGTAAGATCAAGGACTAGGTAATTAAAATGAAGGGCTATTTAAAAGCAGAAATTATAGGAGCTGAAGCCAAGCAGCGCTGCAAAATCCTCCAGGCCAACCTGGTGATTCCCAACAGGAACGCCCGGAGTTTTCCCTGGGCTTTCTGATGGGGCAGCACCCAACGTGGGGTCTTTTTATCCTACCTGAGACGTGAGCCTCCTCCAGCCTCTCCGAATCCTGGGTGCTGAACGGGATCCAGCGCTCCCGGGAGTCCGTGACCTTGCAGTAGAACCAGTGGGGAACAACAGCCTCGTACTTGTTGGCAGCATCCGGCTCCGGAGCCTCGGAGGACGCGGCGGCGGGAGGCCCCGAGGGCTGCGCCTGTTGCTGCTCCGGAGCCGACATGCTGTTCCTGCAAAACGGGTGGCACGAGGACCTCAGTTCCCAGGGACCCTCCGACGCGCTTATTCCACACCAACACCTCCTCCAGCATCTCCCGTATTTATTTTGGGAGCGACCGGGCTGGACACCTCGCTGCCGCCAACGGGGACGAGCCGCATCCGC